ATTTTGCGAGAATATGTGTGATATATTTTGTGTATAAGCAGGTTTACAGTTTGTATATATGTTGCAAGTGTGAGGCGTATGTCTCCTGAGTTAATTATACAAAGACAGTCGAATTAAAAGAAATTGATTGGACCTCGTAAGTTTTGTTTGATCAATTTATTGGACAGGCTGCACTGATACTAAGAGTTTTCACTTAATGTATTATCCTCTATACCAACACGGTGTTGACAAACGGCAACCATAAGGTCATAGTGCAGCTGTTTGAGCATTCATGCACCCAGCGTGGGGACTACTTTTACAAAGACACGAGTGGGTGAGCAGTAAGCGGACAAATTGAATGAGGGCCAAGGTCAGGGCTCAGATTTAGCCGGGCCCCTCTCAGCCAACAGCTGTTAAAATCAAACCGGACCAGTTGTGGTTTATTTTCACACTAAGCAGGATGTGAGAAGCCGGAGGTAGCTGGTGTGTGTGTGTTCCATTGATCAGGGATGTTAATCTTTGGAGGATATGTAGAAAGGTCCTCCCAAGGACAGGACAATGAAAAGGCTCTATTGATTACTGGAACGCTGATCAATTGGTCCCAAGACAGATAACAAGATGTACAAGTCTTGAGTAACAAAGGTATCTTGCAGGATATGGACGGCACAGGTTAATCATTTTTTCATATTTTGACAACCTTAAGGGAAGCCTACACATGAAAATCCACAATCATCCTGATTCGTTGGATGGTCTTGGCAAGTATAGCGCCTCTGTCACACACACAAACTCTGTGCGTGAACTGGGAGATTGAACCCACGGAGGACTATTCAAACCAGATCACTAGTCCATACCAGAAAAGTAGACCCATATAAATAATCACTAAGCCATAGAATTACAGTACTCCTTGTGAAATAGGAGCAACAAATGGAGCTGCTGTGCTTTCAAGTAGTCACTGGAATGTTGTTTTCACACTGGTTCAGCGACGTGAAGGGCCACGCTGATGATCCTGTGTAACACAAAGGACTTCATTTTCTTCGCACTTTGTAAATAGGGTTACTGTATGATTTGTAATCCTTCTACAGCACTGTTCGCCCTTTTAGTATACTACATTTTTCACACCACTGTCCCCCGGGGGGAGACAGGGAAGCAACATAAATACCAGTTGGCAAAAAATAAAGTTATTTTGTGGAGGAGCAGATATTTTTTTTGGCAAGGATATAATAAACAAAACAGCTGAGCTACAAATAGAAAGGCCCCTGTGGGTGTTACAATAAAAAAACAAAAAAGAGGGCTCCTAATTCAGGATTTTAAAATTCTTTACCTAGCTGTCTAAAACAAAGAAAGAGAAAATAAAACCTCAGCTGACTCCACTTTGTCACATGGTGCTGTATTTGCCTTTGGTGTTAAAGTTACGAGACGACAGACAAACTAAAACATTGTTGGGAGTCTGAAAATGTCTAACTGCTATAATGTTGCTATTAGTGAGGGGGAAAAGGGTGAAAGAAGTAAATGTGTGCTAGTCTGTGTTGACAACACTTCAGGGGCAGCACATTCCTGCGCACTGCACGCCATTGGCCCGAGTGCCTGTCCGTCACTCCGCCAACAACTCCGCCCCGCCCACCTGACTCGGGTCTGAGCGCTCATTGGTTCTCCCATTAGTCCCCCGAACGCCCCGCTGGCCAATGGGCGTTGAGGAGGACGGACTCTTTCCGGTGGAACAGTCTCTCGCGCCTACAGTGGTGGAATCGAACGTCCCCGAGCGCACACGGCGTAGAGGAGAGTACGGCGCGCGAGTCTCTGGAAGGAAGATAACGGTTTCTTTTTGTTGCCCCCTCACCACTCAAACAACAAGAACAAACCAAACCTGCGTTTTTAGGGGGGTTTTTACACAGTCTTCTCATCACAAGGAGGAGGGAAGCGAGGGATTGGAGCCGCAAGTTTTTTTTTTATTTTTTCTTTTCCGTTTTTTTTTTTCTTCTTCTTCTCCTTTTTTTTTTTCTCCCCCTAAAAGAGGATTCTGTGTTTTCGCGGTGGTTTATTCTCCGCTTTCGCCGCAAAGATGATGGTCGGAGAGGTCGAAGTGAAGGAGCGACCGAGGCCGAGTCCCGACTATTTGATGCAATTATTAAACGAGAAGAAGCTCATGACCAGTTTGCCAAATCTCTGCGGCATCTTCACACACCTGGAGAGGCTTCTCGATGAAGGTAAGTGGTAGTCTGGAGCGTTTTGGGGAAGGGGGGGAGACAACGCCGTGGGGGTGGTAAGGGGGAGACAGAGAGAGAAGCGTGACCACGGCGCAGTCCGGTGTCGGGCACGGCTTCGGCTGGTCGTCCCTGCTGCATAACGTTATATTATCTTTTATACACCGATACGTTGCTGACCACCGGGCATTGTAACACTCACAACTCCCCTTAAGCTACACCTCACGTCTAACACAAGACCCCCGGTAGTATCCTGAGTGAGACCACAGAGACGATGTGGATGTTTTCGCTAACGTGACTCCCCCTCCCCACCTCGACTGCACTCCTGACTTTGTGGTGACAAGACGAAAACTTTTTTTTTTTCCTCCCCTTTATCTCACTCACTTTTTGGAGGATCTGATCCGCCTGTGACTTGTCAGTGCAGTTCACGAACATCGCTCGCAGATAAGTTTTGAAGCACACTTTTTTTTTAGGTGTGTGAGTGAAAGCGATTCGTTAAGATTAATTTAAAAAACAGGGCCCCGGTTCCACATGTTCCCCCAGCAACGTAACGTTAGCTGCTGTAGGTTAGCCACATTTGAAGCTAGCGAGCCTGCGTTCCGCTAAACTCTTCAGGAATTCAAACCAAAAGAAACCACAGCGCTAACTTAGACACGTCTTTTTGCTAAATACACACCAACCAACAAAGGCTTCTAAAGAGTAAAATGTTATAAAGTGTTATAAAAGTTATTTGCTTCGAGAGAGAGAGAGAGAGAGGGGGTTGTGTGTGTAGTTGTTGCCCAGCGGACGAGCTTAAAAGCACGGAGGAATGTGTCTGCTTGTTGCCCAAACAATGGCCAGTGAGTTGCTGCTGGGAGGGGAGGAGGAGTGCACGGAGATTATTGCAGCCGTCTAACTTTTTCATTAAAAAAAAAAAAGGGGGGCGCCGTTTTTTGTGTCTCCCCTTCACTACTACAATATTTGTCCTTAAAAACGAGGGCTATGCTTCCCTCGGTCATATTTCCTTCCCTTGCTGCAGCAGTCGTCGTTTCTTTTTTTTTGCCAGTCAAGCGTGCTGCTCTACCAAAAAAAAAAAAACTGCGTCGCCTTTTGTCGGCGGCGCCGTCCAGACGGGGTTTGTCTGTCTGCGTGTTATTTCTTGCGCGTTGTCACTTCACGGTTTTTTTTGCACAAGCGACGGCGCTGATAAAACGAGGCTTTCTTCGCCGTTTTATGTTGATAGTATCAATAGCGTAAGCTGGTCTTAAGCGGAAGGTTGGTCCTGTGGTTTATGTAACTGAGCTGGGGACACTAGAGAGCGCCACAGCCCCCCTAGCAGACTGTCCCCATGCTGTGTGTAGTGTCGAGATGGACACCGTGACTCTTAAAACAAATAAGAGGTTTTCTGACTACTAAATAAATGGGCGATTTCTACACAGGAGCAGCAGTGCATACCTCCTGGTTTCGGTTGCATACCTGGATGAGTAGGCTCTGTAGTATGTAGTTGCTAAACCGGTCTGCAAAGATTTTCTTGTTTCATTGATGGGCGATAAACAAGACTCCTCAGACTTAAAGTGGAGTCTTTCCTCCCCACCCCACTAAAAAAAACTACAACAGTGCACACATAATATTTATATAACACTAAATACATTGTATATAGTTTAAACTATGAATTTTTATTTTGGTGCAGTAGATAATGTCCCTCTAATCTGCCGGTTGAATGTCACAGACTGAGATTGTCTATAGCAACAGTCATTTTCACATCGAGAAATTACAACTTAAATTTCCCTTTGAGGCCCACAAAAAGCATTTAATCAGTAAACCACTGAGATTTAAGAAATAAAAGAATTAAAAATGTTCCTGTGTGTTATGATAGCATACCACATTTTGCTACTAAAGGCACCACCTTTGATTACTCCCTATAATGAAAATAAACCCATAACGTCCCCTTATAAAGCATTCAGGGTCTTTTTTTTTAGTCAGTTGTTTTTTTTAGACTAAATTACAAATCATGGGCGCGTTGATGTTTTCATTGAGGGGCGACTCAGGAAGCAGGCTTGTTTTCTTTTTCATCGCAGCCCCCCCTTTGTGCCGTTTTTCCAGCCCCCATAGTCGTAGACCCCCAACAGTCGTCTGAACAGTAAAGAACAGGGATCATGCACACAGTCTGTGCACCTCTCATTTACTCCCAACAACTCAGCCGTGCTGCTGCTGGCAACTTGGCACACTGAGCTAACCCACTGAAAGCAAGAAATAGTTTTTTAGCTTCTGTGTGATCAGCAGTGAGGGTTTTTTATGTTTAAATGTATTAAAGTAACTTGTTTATTTCCACTCATTCGCTCTTACTTTTTGGAGTTAACTATTGAAGTAAATCTCAGAAGGAAGTGCTGCGTTGGTACAAGTTTTGGGTTGTGTTTTTTAAATGAACCCAGTCTGTCACTAAACTTAGTTTGATCACGCTGAAGTTTTTCACAATCCTTACTTCCATAATCCTCTGGTATTAAAAAGAAACATTTCTAACACAGCCGAGGTGATGAGCTGTTTTCAGTTTTTCTGGGGGTGAATTGTCTCACATTTTGTACTAGGCCCATAGTCGCATTTCTTTGCATTTTGTCTGTTACCTGTTCATATAAATCAACAAAGCTGCGTGCTAACTGCGGGGGCAAAGGGGTAGAAGAAGAAAGAATGCGCTCTGCACAGACGTTGTGTGTGTATCTGGCATAAGCAGTAAGAGTTTTTTAAGTACGCTCAAATACTGATTTTGGCCTGTGGGGATGTATGTTTTTCTATATAGTAAAACTTCTTAAAGCACACTGATAAATGTATCATTCTTTCTGTTAAAAAAAGCATTTCCAACATGTCATTTGGTGTCTTGCACCATATGGTTTTGTGGCTTTGGAGGAGCCGGTTTGTTCAAGGTCCAGAAAGCAGCCCTGTAATGGCAGACTGGTCCGACGCTTCTATGCAGCGCTCAGAAAACGGATAAAACACCCCCTCCCCTGGGGTTTAAGACATCGTGGCCGGGACACTCGCGGCTCCCCAGCTCCAGTCTGACTCCTCTAAAGCCTCACAAGTCTGAGGTTTACAAGGGTTTCCACAGCACCGGCCCAAACTTTACCCCGCCGCCAGAAATTGCGTGTGCGTGTGATGAAAGCCACCCCAGTGCAGAAGAAGCCTGTCTGACTGTCTGGTTCCTGTTAGGGGCTGTTTGCTTTGCTTTCCCCTTTGGACGGCGCTGGAGCTCTGGCGGGTTGTTTTGGGGCCAGCCTCCTCCCACTCCCTGTCCCCTACTGGTGTAGAGTGACCCCACCCAGGATAAAACCAAATGCACATTCCAGTCTGCGTAATTTCTAAAAAAAAAAAAAGTAGGGAAAAACAGTAACAGAGTTCAAAATAATAACTGTCCTATAAACAGCTGCTGTGAAGTGTGTTGTTTTGAATGTGTTGCATTGGGCGGCCTGTGCTGTGCTAATGGTAGTTTGAGGTTTATGTGTGTGATGTGAAGTTTTGTGGTGATGAGTGAAGTATGTTTCTTTGGAAGTAGCAAAGATAAACATCACGCTCGACTACAACTTCCAGTCAGACAGGAAAGACTCCAGAAGGGAATCTTTAACTTGTGGTATTGTTGTATGAATTACTTTGGATCTAAAACGTTATTTTGTGTGCGTGTGTTACAGGTATAAGACACTCCTCAGTCACTTCTGTTTGGTTGAAAGTGGGTGTCTTGTCAAAGCCACACAGAGAGAGCAGGTGCTACATAAAGAGCGACTGAGGCTCAAGCGGAGGTTGAAACAAAACCCACCAGTGTTATCAAAAACACAAAGTCAGAGAAAGTCCTTATCTGTCAACAAGACATCCGCCGTTAGGCCTCCCAGAGGACGAACGTTTTTGTGTATTTTGTGTAAAATTCCATTGACAGCACGTCTCTTCTTAGGAAGAACAGTTTCACAGGCTTTAATCTGACCAAATGTCTTAAATCCCTCCCTTTGTCAGACTTTAGTGCACCTAATAAGAGCAAAAATCTAACCAGTCACAGCTGAACGCTTTAAAGTCTTTCCCAAATTGTCCATGTCTCAAGAGTATATCCTTCCGACAGCTGCACATGTCTCTCTCACCCACCCGACGTTTTATGCGTGTCCACACAGCTGTTTCTACGGCGGAAGAAAGCCGACACCACCCTTGAGTGAGACGACTCTTCCCACCCTGCTTTAGTGGCGTGGACGTTCCTTTCACATTCCCAATATGTGTGTAGTCCTCAAGGTCACTCAGGCCGAGCGACAGGCCCCTTTTGAAATCCCCTTGCGTTGCAGTTGTTCGTCTCCCCGAGGTGACACCTGCTATGGAGGTTTTTTTTATTTCTCTTTACGATCTGCCAGCCAACAAGCTGCTTCAAATTGCTATATTTTCTCTTGGCAGGAGGAGACAGCCCATATAACATCTACAGATTCAGCCCAGTAGTGAAGTGCAGGCGCTGTTGTATGGTAGCGGAGAAAAGGAGGATTTTTATCTTCTGTCTTATTGTGGTGTGTGTCTATACAGAGCAGAATAGTCAAATTGATTGAAAATATTGATTCCCATCTCCCTTTACTTTTCCTTACAGGCTAATTTTTGAGCGTTGTTTGTATAATGGATTAAACGCTCCGTTGTCCCGTTGCACGCTGTGTGGCGGAGCCGTGCGGTGCATCGTACCACTTATTCCTGACTGCAGCATCCCCCTTTGCGTACAGTTTTTTTTGTCTGTTGTTTGTCTGTGTGCTGTGATTTAACAGGACCTTCCCGGGAGAGCTGTCAGCATTCGGAGGACAAACTGTCTGCTGTCCACCGTGGTGCCTGTGTAGAGAACTGGTCCTTTGGGAGCCGCTGTTTAGAGAACAGACGTGGGGGAATGCGTTTGGTTACGTGGGGGAATGCGTTTGGTTTTCTACCTGATGTCCCATATTTCTGTCAGTCTGTCTCTGCGGTTCTCCCTGTTTGTTCTCCTGTCTTCTTCTGTCTCTCTTGCTGTTGAAGCCCTGTGCTTTCCC